GAGCCCTTAGTTTTGCTATTTTAAAAGCAAATTCGGGAACATCCTTGAAAATTGGGGGCAATATTATTAGGATTTTAAAAGACATTCCATTTGATATAAGACAGAAGAGAAAGAACTATAAAGAATTAATCCTTTTCTTACAAACAAATGGCATCAGTTACAGGTGGTTAACCTCAGAAGGCGTCATTTTCAAGGTTAACAATAAAAAAGAAAAGATTGACTCTGTTTTTAAAGCACGCAAATTTCTGCGGACACAGCTTGGGGAACCAGAAGAGGGCAAAGAGGAGGAAAAGAAAGCAACTCTGATGGCGAGTTGGCCTCAGGGTCTTCGGACGAGGACTCCCCTTCGGAAAAGGGGGCGGCTGCTCCCAAAAGCCTTTGTAAACTGAGGATTAGAAAAGATAAGAATAAATAAGGGCTGAAGGACTTGGAGATGCTCTGGGAATAACTTGGAGATGCTCTGGGAATTTCTTTAAACAGTTAAAGGGATGGTTAAATGATAATTAATCTAGCATAACCGACTAAGTTCATTGTATTATTAGTAGCTTTTTGAAAATAGCATGGTGTTAAGCTGACGTATGATCTCCTACTCTTGGGTTTTTAGTTAGTTGTTGGTCTTTTTTCTTTATTCCCTAGATGTAGTACCCTTTCCTATATTTTCTGTTGTAGCTTTGTAGTTTGAAAAACAACCCCAATAAAAACCTCCCCCTAGGGGGATGAAAAAAATGTGCATGTATAAAATTTCTAAACATACTTATGGGTTTCCTTGTTCTATTTATCCTATTTTTTCTGTATTTTTACAGAGATGAATTACTATATGAAATTCTTATCACTCAGTTCTATAGAATTCTGATTTGCTACACCGCTGACTGGGTTCTACTAATCTTTCAGGAGAACCAACTTTAACTCTTCATCAGAGCTTTGGCCTAGGTCCAGATAAAGTTTTCTGTTGACCCAAAAGCTGGTCAAACAGTATGTCTTTACCTAACTAGTCAATATATCATTGGTTTGATCTGCTTTCCCCTTTCCTATGTAGCTTGTTTACCAATCTTATATTCTAACAGCAAAGTTGGACATAACTTTGGATACTTAAATTTGGTGACTGGAGCTGTGAATGGGCAAGACAGATCTTTCTACAAATCTGAAACGGGTCCCAGGTTTGCAGAAAAATGTGAAATCTTTTTTTTTTTTAAGTGAAAATGATAACAGGAGATCCTGTAGTTTTAAGCAAGGGTTCCCTCATTGGCTGTTGCTAGGCAACTACAGTATTCCAAGGCTGGGTTTCAGTGAGTAAAAGGAAGGCCCCTTTCCAGGCCTATGTTGAAGGAAGAATTATTGAAGCCAGGCCTAGAGTTGCCAGCTCCAGGTTGGGAAATTCCAGGAGATTTTGTGGTACAGTCTGAGGAGGCCATGGTTTGGGGAGGGAGAGGCCTCAGCCTGGTATAATGCCATAGAATCCACCCTCCAAAGCAGACATTTTCTCCATGGGGAAGGAACTCAGTTGTCTGGAATTCAGCTGTAATTCTGGGAGATCGCAGGTCTCACCTGAAAGCTGGCAACCCTAGGTCTAGAAGCAACTTCTGGGTGATTTGATACCATCTGATCTGCATGACTCAACTGGGCCTGGCTGCTTTCTGCTGTTTAACAGCAGCCACCCAATGAAAGCCAGTGTAGTGTAGCGGTTTGAGCTTCAGAGCAGGGTTTAGGAAACCCAGCTTAAAATTCCTACCTTGCTGTGGGTGATTTTGGACAAGTTACATATGTTCAGCCTAACCTACCTCCCAGGATTATTGTGTGGATAAAAAGGAGGAGAGGAAAATAATGTAAGCTCCTTTGGTCCCTACTGTGGAGAAACAGGGTTATAAATTAAGTAAGTAAATAATAAATATAGCTGAAGATGGCAGGCAGATGAAAGGTAGGTTGGTGAATCACTGAAAAGGAGAAAACGAGGCAGGGAAAGGGTAGAGGTGGGCAGGAGATAGGGTTGCCAACCCTAGGTTAGGAAATTCCTAGAGACTGGGAGTGTGGAGAGGGTGGGATTTAAGGAGCAGAGGGACCTCACTGGGGTATAATGCCACAGATTCCACCTTTCAAAACAGCCATTTTCTCCAGGGGAATTATGGTTGCCAGCCTCCAGGTGGAGCTGGAGATCACTCAGAATTACAAATGCTCTCCAGATGACAGAGATCGGTTCCCCTGGAGAAAATGGCATCTTTGGAGGGTAGACTCTATGGTATTAAACCCTGCTGAGGCTGCTTCCATCCCCAAACCTTGCCCTCCTAAGGCTCCACCTCCAGCTTTCCAGGAATTTCCTAACCTGGAGCTGGCAATCCTAAATGGGAACTGATCTCTGTAGTTGGGAGATCTGTTGTAATTCCAGAAGATCTCTGTGCTCCATCTGAAGGTTGGCAACTGTAGAAGGAGAGAAGTGTCACGGCTCAGGTGGGGTGTCACCTGATGCTGCCACCACTCTGGTTCCAGGCTCCCTTGAGAAGGCCCAGAGCACCCTCCCAAGACCAGACCTCCCTTTTGGCTGAATAATAGGTGTGAGGACCAGGCAGAGTAAACAATGAAAATAGTTTATTTTATAGGAGATCAAACAAACAAGGTGCAGAATAATAACAGTAAATGGGTGAAAAGAAATCAAATGCCCTAACACATCTAAATATATACTGTCCCTAGCTCACTATCTCAAGTGGCCTTAAACTACTCACCCTTCCCTCAGGATGAGGGTTTCTCCCTACAGCAGCCTTCCTTCTGGCTCAGCCCTCTGGGAAAAAAGAACAGCTTTCCCTGTTGTACCAGTTCTCTTCTTCCCTATTGGTCAAAATTGGCACCAAAACTTCCCAAGGCCTTCTGGGATTTGTAGGCCCAGCCTCCTCCCACTGCTAGCCAGGCTCCCTGGGCCTAGTAGGCCTCTGGTAGCAAAGCCCAGATCAATTTTGACAGGAAGTATGAAAAGGGGACAGGCTATAGGGGTTTTCAGAAAAGAAAAGAGGAAATAGTGGGGGAGGGGGAAATGAGATGTATTTAATTATCTTAGGCATCTTCCACAGCACCATATGTAGTTTACAAACTCATTATTCCCAAACATGAGCGTGGATCCAGAACAGTATTTCTGTGAGCTCAAAAGACTTCCACCCATTAAGTGACTTTCTCACTCACACTTCCAGCTACGCCCCCAAAATGCAGTGCCTGGGAGCCCAAAGAAACCCTGCTCTGGGTCCAAATCAGAGGGTTACATTTCAAAGTCCTATGACAGGCATATCTTAGCATTAAAGCATTACGTGTCTTAAAAATAACGTATGTCACTTGTTTAACCCAATTTTTTCTTGTTTAAAACTAGGCTTGCCAAGTCCCCCCGGGGGTGGGTGGGAAAACCCCCACCCTAGAGGCCTGTTACTTGCCGCCGGCGGATCGGGCCCCGGGGGAAACCCCACCCCCAAAGCACGCGCCATGCCCGGCGTCAGCACGTCACCCTGAAGTGACGTAATTACATCGGACACATTGGGGGCGGGGCCACAATCATCCAAGGGAAAACTCGGATGATTGTGGCTCTGCCCTCAACGTGCCCGGCGTGATTGTGTCACTTCCGGGTGATGTAATTGCGGTGCGCGTGCATGGACTACCGGACGAGGACGGGACTCCCCCGCTATACAACAGGTGAGGACTTGGCAACACTATTTAAAACAGTATAATCATCCCCACAATATTGTCATCTTCCCCGTCTTGCTTGACCCTTAATCCTCTTGATCTATGGCATAATGTGGCCACAAATACTTTTGTTTGCTTCATAATTGTGGCTCTAGAGTTAGAAGATGCCCCCTCTGAGACCTTTGTTGTAACCAAATGCTGTGCTCCAAGTACTCAGAATTTTACAGTGCAATCGTATGCAGTAACTGTTAGCTTCCTGACCTGCCTTCTAGGAAGACCTAAGCCAGGCCAGCACGATATATAACCTATCAAGACCTTCAAAAACAGCCCATTTCTGCTGCTGGCCAGAAAAGGAATATTCAATACCTGGCCCAATACACGTCTAGTTCAGCCTGATAGTTCACAAGTTGTGCAGGCCTGCTCTGAGCTAAAAGGTTGTCGGGGGTGTGTGTGTAAACTTAACAAAGGTCAGGATTTTAGAAGTTACCTTAAATGGTTCATGAAATCAAACAGGTTAAGTGTTGTGAGATGCCTAAAAATGTGAGAACTGACCAAGCAGGAGGATATTTATTGGCCAGAATCAGCATTTTACATTTTTAAAGGTAAAGGTAAAGGTTCCCTTGCTTGAAAGCCAGTCGAATCCAACTCTAGGGTTGCGGTGCTCATCTCCGTTTCAAAGCCAAAGAGCCAGCGCTGTCCGAAGACGTTTCCGTGGTCATGTGGCCGGCATGACTAAACACCAAGGCGCACGGAACGCTGTTACCTTCCCACCGAAGTGGTACCTATTTATCTACTTGCAATTTCTTGCTTTCGAACTGCTAGGTTGGCAGGAGCTGGAACTAGAGATGGGAGCTCACTCCATCATGCGGCACCCGGGTCTCGAACTGCTGAACTACTGAGCTTCCACAGCCTGCAGTTCAGCGTCTTAACCACTTGAGCCACCGCAGCTCCTAACATTTTTAAAACTTGGCTTTAAAACAGCAGTTAAAAAATGAACTGTGATCACTAACTGTAGTTCTAGCAATATTCCAAGGAGTCATGAAATTACATGCCAAGAAATTTACAGCCTTCAGCAACACACACACATAAATTCAAGGCCATTTCACATGATCTCTTGCTACCTGACGACTCTGGGACAAGCATACTAGTCAGACACACCCATGTGGGCACACTACTGAACTCACAGTCTGCAGGGGTTTTCGAGGAGGCATCATTTATAAGAACTAGTGCTTACAAGTGGGGAACTCTACACCTGAATTTGTCAAAATCTCTGGAAGTGTGACACAGTCTCCCCCAACAGGGCTCACTTACAGCATGAATCCCCCTTTTCTTGCATGGTAACTCACCTGTGACTGGACATAGTCCCATGCATTCTCAATGGTCCTGTTTTTTTCATCATCAGGATTATAATCCTGGATGAGTTTATGGACGATTCCAGATACTTCTGCTTTGAGCTGGCAAAGAAACATGGGAAGGTTAATATCTTAGTGAGGCTTGCCCATTACATTACAAAACTGCATTTGGTCCACTTGAATTTTGGCAACATGTGCAAGTTACTATACTATCTGATTAACTTCGTCCATAAATCATACTTTAACTTTCCAAACACAAAGACACAGTATGAGCATAAAAACTGTATATACAATCTACACAGAGCAGAATGCGTATTAAAAGGATAAATACATGAGCATTTATTCAAATTTGTACAAAAAGCTGCAGCAATGAAATATGTAATTTAAGAGTGTCAGGCCCTGATACAACATTAAACTGATGCTTACCTCACAATTTACAGGGGACCGACTTCTTTGCAGTTTCTTCCCACATTGCTCTGAACTATTTGGATGCAGGACTACATTAAGGGGATTGTATGGTTCCCTCCTTGGGAAGGAATCCTAGAAGGCCCATCCGCTGCTTGGATACTCATTCTGTGCACCATCAAGGTCTCCAGGCTTGCTGGCAAGAGAGCTTTAGGTGCCACCTTAACCTTTAAGTTATCCTGTTGCTATGTTCTTCCCTATAGGCTTCATTGAGAAGTGCAGGACTTCCTCATCACCTGTCTTGAAGCAGGAAAGCGTGTGTTCTTACGCAACTCCCCCCTCCCTTCTATACTACTTACACAAGCATCCTTGTGTATCCATGTGTACATGGGATGCATGCTCACAGTGAGAACAGGCCATTATTTAATATACTTTAAGTTTAAGACTAAGACTAGGCTTGCCATGGAGTATTAAGGAATTTCTCTTTGGACAAAGGGCAGCCCAAATTGTGCTTACCACAGCTAGCAATGTCAAACAAAGGCCCATCTCCCACATTAGGCAAGACCTACTGCTTGGAGGTGACACTCCTCTGTCATGGGAGTCACAAGGCTATCAGGGTACGTTCCAATTGGGGTCAGATACAGAGAGAAACATTAAGCCAACCCTAAAACTGTATTTTCCCTCCAAGAATACTGCACAGATGAGGCTGTGGAAGATGAGGACTTTCTTAGCCAATGCAACTGAGAGAGTGTGTGTATATATGGGGGGAGTGCTGCAGGTTGTACCGCTGTGCTTCTGCCAGTAAGCAGATCTTCCTCAGTGGACCACATGAAAATGTCTCATTCAGTGGGGGTGGCCTAATAACCTATTTCAGTCATACAGCCAGTCTGTGTCTTCCTCATCCTGCTTTGCCTCCAGTCACTCAAAAAAGCCCCAAGCAGCCAAGTGCAAGAACCCAGCAACAACTAGAGAGTCAGGCAGGGGATTCAGCTGGCACTTGAAGGCACTGGCAATGGGCTTTCAACTGGGTCAAGTTCCACAGCAAATAAGTAATTGTGAGCAGTCTGTCATGCTGCCAGATTCTAGCATATGGCGACCCTGTTCAGCTCCAATAAAGCTTGGCAGAGAAGCTCAGACACATAAACCCAAAAATGCTGTGGCGTAGAAGCTACACGCAGACTGCCTTTCAGCAAAGCTGCTTGGAAGTAGGCTACATTATCTGCTTATGCACTTCTACTGGACTTCCATGGGGAAAAATAATCATGCAACCTTGCCCATCCTTCCCCTCTTCCCCACCCCAGTTGATGTCTAACCCTCATCCCATTACTTAACTGCTCATTCTTGCCCCCACCCTTATAAGCAGGAGGGGACTGATGAGAAGCAAAGCAATTTGACCTGGTTCCTGCAGCTAATGCAATTGGTTTTGGCTACTTTTGTCCTAAGTGGCAGTAAGCCTGCGGGCTTTTCTCTCTCCTCTGTGTTCTGCATAGTGGGGCAAGAGAAAGCTGCTTTCGTGTACTAGACTTCAACCTGCTGCTTTCAAAGACTTCTAATGGTGACTGAAGCTTCCATTCCAAATTGTGCAACGTTCTGTGTGCTTGCCTAACCAAGGAGCAAGGATTCATCTAGGCTAGCGTCATCATGACTTAGGCCCCAAATCTAATTTTTATGCCCAAGATGAATCCAATTACTATACTTCTGGATTTGGGCTTCTGAGGACATGTACAGTGTAGAATCACAGTCTCTTCCCACACATGAAGTACTAAATCAGGAAGGCCTAAAATAGGATGCATGGCTTTCAAGTGAATGCAGTCTCATCACCATTGATACAATCATCCCCAATAATTTGAAACACCAACTTCCCAGTGACCATGTCCTTTACTAAGGATGGGCACAAACCAGTTCATGAGCCAAAATTTAGGCTAGAGTTGCCAGGGCTCCAGGGTCTGCCCTGAGATTACATTGTTGACATTGGGTGGGGGGTGATGCTCTAGTTTTGGGGCAAAACTCTATGGTTTGAGCCCAATTTTACCATAGAGTTTTGCCCAAAAACTAGAGCATCACCCCCTCCAGCGGCGTGATGACGCCACCTCTGGGTGACATCATCATGTCGTGTTTGGGGGCATTTGCAGGTGGGTTTTCCCCCACTGGCCAGCTGGATGGCAGCAGAAAGGGCTCTGTAAAAATGGGGGAACCCCCACCCAGACCAGGGGCCTGGCAACCCTAATTCAGGCCAAACTATGTCTGGTTTGAAGCTCAGTAACCGCTATTCAGGGAAGATGCATTCCCTGAACATTTACCAGACTTTTGGGTCCATTTGGCTGTTTGGGGCCAGCCATTTAACCCTTTGGTTTTGCTCCCTGCCACTTCAAGGGGGGAGCCAAACCAAAGGGTTAAATTAAGCCCCTTTCCAGCCAATCCCCACCCCTTTCTCCCAGCTGCAGTGAGCCATGTCTGGGAGAAAGGTGAAAGGGAAGTCCCTCTCAAGGTGATCCCCACTCCCTTTCTCCTGGCTGTGGCTTTCCATGGCTGGAAGAAAGGGGGAACTGAACTTACCAGACTGGTTCAGTTCGTGTGGGGCCTGTTCAGTTCAGCTTGGGATTCAGTTCATGTGCTGCCCGGAACCTTGAATTGAACCCCCTTTTTTAGGTTCGTGCCCATCCCTATCCCTTACACACTACATCAACCATAGTTTTCCCCCCAAAGACCCCACATATTTGCCCAAATACCATGGGACTTATGAGCAGGTGAACTTGGTTTAATGGTGCCATTAAAGTGAACAACTCTAACGCCCCTACCAAGGGCATATAATGGAAAATAAAATTACTGTTTAGTAAGACCTTTTGCTTTCCAGTTTGAGGCAGGGGAAGGAGATGTTGCACACACTTCACCCTGCACAAACAGATCTTTGAACCATCTCAATCATTTATAGAAGTGCTTGCAAGAATCAACGCTTGTTGTCAAAACCAAACTTTTATTTCTTCAGCATCAGCTGAAATAATTCCAGTGTCATAAAATGAGGTTTAGATCTCCACAACTTAGAACATTGCTTTAGTTCTGCTTTCAGTGAAAGTGGGACAAAAGGTCATAGCAACAAATATGTACAGTATCTTGTTTTTGTGCTTTCCTCAGATGGAAGTCTTATAATGGGTTGCTTTAAAGGAGTGCAGCACTAATAGTGTGGATTTGCAGGAAGTGGAGCAAAGAAATTAGACCTGAGGTAACAAAACCACATACATACCCCTACCTAATCTCTAAAGGGAGGCAGGGCACAGCAAGTACAAGAAAGAATATAGCTAGGCACAGCTTGATGACAGTTATTTTAAAAGATGTCTTTCAGGAATGTTCAGGTGGCTTATTTAAAAGAGACAATATAAAAACCAGGAAGCAGAACAGACAGAGACAGATATCAAACCCAAAAGCCACTGTATAAAACAGAGATGCAAGGCCATAATAAGAAAGAGGCACACCATACTATCAATGTAGTTCAAATGGCTGCTGAAAAAAGGGCACTGAAAGTATGCGCTTGTTATTTTGGGAGGAGTACATCCTACCAAACGTAAGTTGAATGGAGGTGGTAACTTCTATCAAGTTGCAGTGGACTTATGGAAATCCCATATGGTTTTCAAGGTGAGAGACATTTGGAGGTAGTTTATCAAATCACTGAACCACAGCCTAGAGCACCTCAGTCTTGTCATGATTGTTTGCCCCATCTAGCCCACCACAGAATCCAGACTCAGATTAAGAAGAGCCACAGCTTTAGTGGACAAACTAGCTGCTCCATTTAACTCATGGCCATCACAGGGACTTGGAGTCAGACAGCAGCTGCAAGTTCCCTGTGGGAACTCGCTTCTATAGCCCCACAGGGTCCCAGTTCTGATCAAGAACTGCAGTGTGGGGGGCAGGATCAGACATTTGGAGGTAGTTTACCAAATCACTGAACCACAGCCTAGAGCACCTCAGTCTTGTCATGATTGTTTGCCCCTTCTAGCCCACCACAGAATCCAGATGCAGATTAAGAAGAGCCACAGCTTTAGTGGACAAACTAGTTGCTCCATTTAACTCATGGCCATCACAGGGACTTTGAGTCAGACAGCAGCTGCAAGTTCCCTGTGGGAACTCGCTTCTACAGCCCCACAGGGTCCCAGTTCTGATCAAGAACTGCAGTGTGGGGGGCAGGATCAGCTCTAGCCTTCCTCGTGCAAGTTTCCTGACACAAGACAGTACACATGCAGCCCCGATATGGGGCAAACAGCATTCAATTCAGTTAGCATTCTTTTTTTTTTTAAAGCTACAGGCATTGCTTCTGTTATTTCAGAGAATTTTAATTCCCCTGATTTTTTTTTTAAGATTTCAGATTTTCCTGTAACCTTGGGACTTCCTTCAGGTTTGTAGAGAGATCCCCTGTTATCTCTCCCTAATTCCATCCTGGAGCTCTATCAATCACATTCCCTATAGCCTGGTTCCAAAATAGATATACCAACAAGCAGGGGACCTGTGAGGACTGGCAGGGGACATCTCATTTCCCCTACCCCACTGTTTCCTCTTTTTCTTCCCTAAAAGTCCCATAGCCTCTCCCCTTTTCCTGCTTTATTCTTTCCTTCCCCCCCACCAGCCAATCTACTGTTATCGGCTCCCCAACTTCAGCCTTCCCTCCCCCAGTGGCATCTGCCTAGGAAAACTATGGTCCAGTTGCA